TTTATGTTTCTCTTAGTGGTATGATGGCATAAGGGATACCACTCGAATTTATGCTTCTGGATCTTATAAGGTGCTTCCCATTGATAGAGTCTGTTTTCACATGACCAAAGATATATGTTTAAGCTATTTATATGACCAGTTTTACCAAAACATTTTCCGCCATGCTTCTCGGCATATTGTTGAGCCTTGATTATTTTATTAATAATACGAACAAAATTAACAGATCTGGAGTGAGTATTTTCTTCCAATATGTTATGAGGCAGATACTGAAATTTTTCTAGATCAATTAGCATAAGTTCCTCAAGTACAAACCCACATGTAGGTGTGAATTCTCCATCTAAATAATATAATACTGGTTCATTCTTTGTTACTATAATTTTTCAGATTTTATATAAAGAAGAGCTTCAAATTTCATTCGTTGTGTGCTTTTGATTTTCTATATCTCCTTCCCATTCCGCATTGGCAAGTAGGTAACGAACATTATCCCCCTTTTTAATTTTTTTTTGTCTTTACCAACTGAATGTTTATATTTTGTAGATGGTCTAGACTCTACCCTATCCAATCTAATTGCTTTCACAAGTGCTAATTCTCATTTCTTTGATTCTGGCGCTCGTATAAGTCATGTTGGATAATTATTCAAATATTCAAGAACTTTTGATAAATGTTCTTATTAATTTAAGATTTCCAGATATACTTTCAATAGCAGATTGAACTTTGTATAATATCTCTGCCAATGTCTTACAAAACCTGTCTACGATTGCAAGTCCACGATGAGAGTATGGGCCTATAACTCGAATTATAATGTTATGTGCTTCCATTATTTTTGAAGTTTCGCCTATAAATTCTCTACCACTATCACATTGTAATAAATTAGACCAGGTAAGAGGGATATCAGGATTGTCATAAATTTTCTTAAAGGCTTTAGCAACTTCAGAACTATTCTTCAATATTAGAGGAATGGTACATTTAAAACATGATACAATGTCTATAACAGTAAGTGCTCTTTTGTATGTCTTTCTATTAACTGTATCATTTGTAAGGCGTAGCAAATCACATATATGTATACAATTTGGATAAGTAATTTTGCCATAATTAACCTGTGGAGAATTTTTTTGTGGTGGAGCATATTTTTGCCATTCATTCTGGTTTGTAAGCCACTCACATACCTTTTTATATAAGAACTGATACCCCTCTGCTTTAAGACCTTTCCATAGTTTTCGGGTATTGGAATGATACCCTGTTGGTTGATAGAATAATAACCGGCAAACTAGGGCCAATTCCTCATCAGTACTAATTATGATACTAGGTTGGTTCATTTTCGATACATTTTACTATATTAATAAATTATTATTTGTTAAAGTTTCCAGAAGTGTTGATATATTATAGGCTTCTACAATGCCATCAAATATGGTAGTGTTCTCACTTAGTAAAACAATCAAAAAATTTGAAGCTAGTTTGCAGATAATAAAAAATCGATTCTATAAATTACAATGGGATCTAGACTTAAAAGAGAGTTATATTAAATATCTTGAAAATGAAATTTTGATTCGAGATAGAAAACTGGATCTATTACGACAAGAATTTCTGATATTAAAGAGTGGTTAGAAAAAACACTTCAAGATTCTGAAAGCCAAGAGAATTATGTAGACTATTGGAAAAGCAATTAGTAATTTTTCAGGGTGATAATGACAAACTTAATGAAAAAATTCTTGGCTTGTATAGATCCAAAGAAGAATCGGAGATTCAATGCTCTGCATTATCATTTCTTAGAAATAAAAATTCCAATAATACTATAGATATAGTGCAACAACCAGGAACACCCCAAATATTATCTCTTCCTGAAAATCAAGCTACAATCCAGAAACATAGAATTACATGAGAGGTTGATAGTATTAAAGAATATTTTCAAAGCCCAATTACAACAGCACCTGCAATAAATGATAAAGAGAATCTTAATATAATTATTGATGCCAGAGATAGGTTTGAAAGGTTAGTACTAGATATATATCTATGGGCAAATGCTCGTGTGATTAATGCAGAAAATCAAGTGGCCGATTTGCAAACCCAGTTAACGAATTTACAAACCCAGTTAGCTACATTTCAAAATGATTATAATTCTCTTTAACAGGACTTATCTTGTGAATAACGAAGATGATATAACATTGAGGCAGACTTGAATTTAATAACTGCAACTTATAATAATGAAGCAAAAGAACACCATCGCTAGTGGTTCTTTTATTGTAATAAAAATAGATAGGTTAATAAATTAATTCAAAAAAAATTTGTATTGTATCTATTAAATAGATGAACCCAGCAGCAACTACAAGAATACAAGACAGATGGAACAATTACTACACATCTTTTAAATATTACAGAAAAATGATATACCAAATAGAAAAATAAATGTAAAACTCTAAAAAATGATTTATTACTTGCTAATATTCAACTGGACAATAAGTGGGATAAGTGGAAAACTCAGGCATGAAATTCTGAACAATTAATTTTAAATTTGAATTAGCAAATATTTGCGCTTCAGAATAATTTACCAATAAATATACAAGTGAATATGGTATTATAGCCACTACTACTACCAAATTTTTCAAATGAGTATGACAAGGATATCGATATTTTTATTAGTCGATTATCATCATATTTAGCTAGCACCGGTATAAACCCAGTTGCTAATCGAGATTAAGTATTTGGTATTCTTAGAGGGTGTTTACATAGGCAAGTATTAGAATGGTTTGATTGAAAAATTCTTGGTAAGCAATGGGAACTTCACAATATTTTTGCAAATCATAGCTAGGCTGGTATGGATGCTCTTCAAAGTCACACTATGGCATAGATGAATACTAGTAATAGTTTTAAAAATCCTTCAATTGCTTATAACTATGCAAACATTGCTGGTAATAATACAGTAACAGTAGGTGTTTCAATGATTCTAGCTGAAGCTTTTACTGAAGATTGGCGCTTAGCTGGGGGGCGACTATCAAATAGACCTATTAATGCAATTAATGCAAGTAATGCTAATCCTATAGTATTTGGCGATATTTGAATTGGTTAAGCATTATATTGGCTAAGAAATGAATATCCTATAGTAATAAGCGAGAAGTGTAATTTAGTATATGGATCATTAGCTCAAGGAAGTGAACCTATAGAAGAATTTTACTCGAAACTCTTAAAATATAGGAAAATGCTCAATCTTGATGAGCAACAGATTAAGGGTCAATTTTTATGAGGTTTGTCTTCAGACTTGGAGGATAATGCAGAATGCATTAGTACTAAGCAACTATTAGCTGATCTTTTTAAAATTTTGGAGTGAATTAAAATGCGAAGGGCAGAGAAAAAATTAGAATTAGTTAGTAAAATACCCCAGTCTAGTTATAAATTGTCATCTAAATTAATAACACCTACACAATCTCAATCTGTTTCTTCACAATCAGTTTCTCAACAAATACAGCCATCACAACCATTGCAGACACCTCAACCTTATTATGGACCACAACCCCCGGCACATATCAAAAAATACAAGATATATTAATGAATAGATTTGTATAATGGATTACTGGAAAAGTTCCAGAATTTGTTTCTATCCCCAAGCCCAATTTATCTCCAAAACCACAGATAAAAAAAGTAGAAGTTGACTCTGATAAATAACTGGCCAATCTTACAAAAAAACAATTAAAATTACATGTAGCCAGAGCTGTTAAAAAGGCTAGGAAGTCAGAACACCGGTGCTCAAATTGTAATAGGACTGGACATAATTCTTGCAAGTGTTCTCGGAAAAGAAAATCCAAGAGTAGATCTAAAAAAAAAGATAAGGTTAATATGGCTATCAATGACTCTAGTTCTGATTCAGGTTCTGATTATAGCTTTTTAAATAACGATTCTGATTCTGATTCTGATTCTGGATCTAACTCCGATAATACCTCCTCTGAAACTGAGAGTATGCAAGTTAATATCACTAAGTCAAAAAAAAGTAAACCAAAAACAGAATTCCAAGAAATCTAAATCTAAGAAAAAGGGATCGAAATCTCAAGTTTCCAATCTATCCAAACCTCACAAGTCAAGGCAAACCTTTCTAGAAGAAATCCGTGAAATTGTTATAAATATATTAAAAAAACTATTACCTCCATATTTGCTACAAAGTCTTAAATCCGATTTCAGCCCTATAAAGCCTGCTTTCACAAAAAAGCTACCCTCCATTCAAAATAATAATTATCGAGAACCAATTCCAGAAATACTTGATTCAGAGAAAGAAGAGGAGATACTGGATGATCCTATAGAGATAGATTTTGTCTATCGGAAGGAACCCGACACAAGTATTGCAACTATACCAGTTAAAATCAAATGCTTAAAAATTTTAGCATTGGTACTTGATAGTGGGGCTGAACCTGCAATTGTATCAGAAGATATTGTTAAACGTGTAGACGGAAAGATAGATAAATCGGAAAAATATAATCTTAGTGGAGTTGCTACTATTCCAACAAAATCTATTGGCATCACTCATAATTTACTAATAATATTTCCTCCAGGTTTTACTATCTGTGAAGATTTTGTAGTTGTTTGAGTTCCCAAACCAACATTAATATTTCCAAATCTACTTCTTAAGAAATACAAATATGCTGTAGACTGGGGTAATGATAAAATGAAGATTCATTATATTGGAGAAGATTTTATTATTCCTATTACTATACACAAAGTCAAGAATAAACTCAAAGTAAATTGTATTACCACATCTTTAGATGATAAGCCTTTGGTATCTGATCAAATTTTACAGAAGGTTGATAGTAATAAAAGTAATAATAAATCATTGGAAGAATTGTATGCTCCTCTGAGTTTTCATCCAGATTCTGACAATTTGACTTTTAAAAAAAATGCATAAATTGCAAAAGATATAAGAAAAGTCTTTATAATGCATTTAAATCGATCGTAGAACTTAATGATTGTAATGAAGCTCTGCAAGCAAAGTGCAGTAATATTATTGAGCCTTTTACAGATTAAGTGGTAGATTTTATACGAGTGCTACTAGCTAAGTTTTTATTCTTTTTTTTTATTTCTCTCTTAATTTGGGCTACTATATCTGTATTAGAAATGTTATTAAGACATGTGAGTATTCTTGCTTCGCATGTATCACCCCCACTTATTTTTTCTATCTTTTCTCTGTTATTAGAAGCCGAGTGAGAAGAGTGAATTAATTTGGAACTAGATTTTCTCTTTTTTGAGTAACAATTTTGAGTATTATTCTGATGTTGAGATTCTATATAAAATACGACTTCTTTAATTCGTAATTGAGAATTCATTTGTTGTTCATGTTTGTGATTTTTTATGTAATCTACAACACGAGAGTGAGATATGCGATATTTTTTTGCCATTGTATTTATTGTATCAGGTACCACTCTTATCGATTCTTTAATTTCTTGAATCGCTATATCTAAAAGAAATATTGCATTAGCACTATAATATTTTTTATAAATACAACTCATATCAGCCACATAAGTGTCTTGCTTTGCAAAAATATTTTTATATTTATATATAAAGAAAAGTTTTGAAATATTTTGAAATATTAGTTATACATATAAAAAATAAAATATAATGAAAGGTATACAAATATTCCAGAATGTTTCAAAATATTTTACAATATTTAAAGATATATATAAAAAACAAAAATCTAAAACATTTATACACATTTATTTAGTCACATAATAACGATGAAGTAATTATTGATTATATTTTTTCTATTGCGTAGCAATGGGCTCTTAATATAGTTAGAGACGTAGAGATGCTAGTAGAAATAATATAGAAGTTTACTATATAATTCATATATACTCTTAATCTCCTTGTCTCAATTAATAGTATCTAAAGACTTGTTTAATAAATTTTCTCAATCAAGTTGTTCTATTTTATTATTATACCAAATTTTATAAATTCAGCAAGTTGAAGTATTATATTTATTAGCCATTGTTTTGGCTGCATTTTTAACTGTACCTTGGGGTTTTATAATCTCCTCAAGTATTTCTAGAGATAAATAAGTAGTATCTACATGATATATTTTTTATTAATATGTTCCATTTGATTATTGAAACTTTTCAAAAGGATTTTAGACTTTAATATCTATTTTTTATTATTTAATATAGCTAATATATATACACTACGAGATATTAGCTCTAATAAAGATTATCGTCTTGGCAGTATGTATAAGCAAGAGCTTGAAGAAACTTTACATCACAGTTGGGGTCCTGCATATACTAATTAATCAAAATCATGTGAGGTACAATAATAATAATAATATAGCTAGATTTTATGCATAAGATGAGATCGGCAAAATTGAAGCATATTTACTAGCAAAAACTATATTCAAAAAAATTGCTTCGTCTCATGTATTAACCATTTTCTTCTAGCAATTTTTATGAAAAAATAATTATAATAATGCAACAAAAGAAGTTACAATTTTAAATTATTAATTAATTAAGCATTTTAAAACTTTTCCTTAATGGAATGTTTACTTTTGTTATTATACTGCATATGCTGCATGTGTTTTAACGAAAAAAAAGATTTTTGTGATGAATTGGTCTTTGTTTATAAAAATTTAAATTGTAATTTTAAAAAACTGGCTTTCCTTAAATTATATATTAAATTTTATTATAGGTTTTTAAGTTAGTTCTAGTGCTAAAGCTTTTTAAGGCTTCGCTTTTGTTGTTTTTACACTTTAACCAAAAAAAAAGATACACGTTTGTGATCAATTGGTCTTTGTTCATAAAAATTTAAACTATAGCTTTAAAAAACTGGCCTTTCTTAAATTATATATTAAATTTTATTGTAGATCTTTAAGTTAGTTCTAATGCTAAAGCTTTTTAAAGCTTTGCTTTTGTTGTTTTTATGCTTTAACCAAAAAAAAAAATACATGTTTGTAATCAATTGATCACGAGAACGGTTTCATCAATTAAATATCAAGTTTTATTGTGGGTTTTGTGCTAGTTTTGCTTTTTAAAATTCTGCCTTTATTAAAAAGATACACGTTTGTTTCAATTCAGCTTTTGTAAATAAAGATTTAAAAGCACTAAAAAATGTATGTTTATTTCAATTGACTTTTATAAATAAATTTTACAAGTATAGCCTTGAAAAAAATATTCTCATATATCTCATACTTTAATAATCTCAATATCTTACCCTTCAAAATGTAAGCTGCAATTAAAGGGTGCGCAAGAATCACTTGCCAAAAAACAAGAGTTGATTAAATGACAAAAAATCATTAATGAAATAACTGATTATCTGGAAAAAACTACTACTCTTGAAATTCAAGCAATACATAAAACTGTCTTAAATATTAATAAACCATGCACATCTAAAACATATAACTCAATTATTAATACTCTTGACGAAATATCTAAACCAAATCTCAAATCAACATCACATCTTTTACGTACTATGAGATACTCACATAGAAAAAATAAAGGCAAAATCATTTCACCTTACATACAGGATAAAGCTTTTCAATATATATCAGATTCTCTTTACAAACCTGGAAAATCGTCAGATTAACTAAATCACCAAAATAAGCAGCTTCAACAAAATGTAAAAAAACTGCAACAATCTAAAGATCGTATAACCCACAAAGTTCAACAACTTGGCGGCACTGTTAGTCAACTTAAACGTAAGCAACACCAGTACGTATCTCAAATTTGTGCTAAGGCTAAGCGTCCGCCAGAACTAAAGAATAAAGATATAAAAACAGTAATTAGGAACTTAATTATGTAAAACAACAAAGAATATAATTTAGAATTTATGAAACTTGCAACACAAGTTTCACAAATTGGACAAACTTCGTTTATCACTGTAGTAGCAAATATAATGACTGTGTTTAATTTTTTAACTGTGAACAATTCTCAATCTTGAATTTCTGAGACTACTATTAGTCATTGGCATCGTGAGTTATCTGAATTGCATATAAAAAATAAATTTCAACAAGCAAATCAGTCAGATTATTTTATATTCGGAATTATGGCTGATGAATCGGGCCGAGAAGAAAAAAAAATACTTATCGAATTTTTTATGTTCTGGAATTCAGAAAAAAACATGCCTGATACAGTGCTTTTGAAAACAAAAGATCTCTTACGATATAACTCTGACACTGTTAGTAAGGCTCTCGTAGAAACTTGTACAAAGTATAATTTAAATACAAAACAATGTCTTACCTTTCTTTCAGACAACACTAATTATATAAGTGGTCAAGTCAGTGGTGCTATAACAAAATTTAATAAATTAAGTAAAGGTAATTGTGCTCGAATACCTTGTGGACTACACGTGCTACAATTAATCTTAAATAACTTTGAAGATACAGCTTTTGGTAAGCTTCTAACGATTACAGGATTTTCTAAGACTCGTCATCCATATAATCTCCTCTACTTGATGTGGATGTTACATGATGGATATAATAAAAGCGATAAAGATTCACTATTAAATATAAGAAGCAAATCAATTAAAGAACTTTATAAAGCACAGTTGGGTTATCAGTTAACCAAGTATCAACAACCTTTATGCTCAAGATGGCAATATGAGTTGACTACTGCAGAACAATACCTTGAAAGACGAGAAATTTATTTAGAATTCGTTACATGGTTTCTTCCAAAACTTAAAAATTTAAAAAAAGCACCTACTTCTTATATTCAAAAATGGGAATTGTTCCAGACCTGGTTAACTGATCCTAAATTGAATATAGAACTTCAATATTTAGTTAAGTTTGGCCAAGAATTTTATCGTCCGTTTACAAGTTTTCTTGTCGATTATGATCCACAACCTAAAGTAACACATTAGGATTTATTACAATGCTTACCACCTAGCCGTCAGGTGTATCAAATACCAGATTTTATAATTAATTCTATATCCAAACTTATAAATATTCTGGAAAATATTTATTCATTTTTTGGTGCCGAACTTCTGCAAAGCATGGAACTAATGAATAAATCAGAAATTGATCTATTAGTCAACAATTTGGAATGTGAAATGCAAAAAGGACTTAAGTTATATCAAAAATAGTTAGATTGTTGGCTCTACTTTCCTTTAAGTGTGTGTCGTCTTGGTGGAGATAATGCCCAACAGTTTGCACGTAGTTACTGGTATATTGTTCTTAAAAAACCATGGCCAAAGTTTTCTACTCTAAAAGAACTATGTTTTGCACAATATTTAAAAGAAGATATTGCACAAGGAAGACTTGAAAATTTTGATCTTAAAACTGCATTAACTGATGACTCTTTTCTTCAAGAATTTAGATCCTTTGTTGAAAACTCAAATGTCTCACTTCACAAATATCCACGACTATATGATTTTGTTAAAAACAAGATTTGGTATATGAGGTGAGTCAATAGAAAAGGGACAAATTTTTTCTAAGTAAAAGTTTTCTTGACTTTAAGCTTAAATATCTTGACAATTATCTTATCAAATTTAATAAAATTTTTTTATTTTAATTCTATATAACTTCAAGATTAAAATAAAAAAATTTTTAACAAATTTGATTAAATAGTTGTTGAGATATTTTAATTTAAAAATTAAAAAAATTTCACTAAAAACAATTTGTTTTTTTTTTATTGACTCCCCTCATATTATTGTCTACCAACAATAAATAGAAGGCATGTTTAACAAGTGGGACTTGAAAACTCACCCCAATATGGCCCTAAGTACTCAACAATCTAAAATATGCTTTTCGATAACAAATATAAAAGAAGTTCAACTTAATAATAAACAACTTAAAGACCTTTGAAGTAAAAATAAATTTAAAAAAGAATTTAATAGATTAAATATTGAGTTAGATAGACAAGAACAAACTGCTAACAAGCTTTTTAAAGAACTATTTTTATGTTGCTAGTTTTTTAAATCTCAAGATTATCATTTATCTATCATGTAATTATTTCTGTACTTATGTAATACCAATTTATATATTATAAATGTGACGATAAAATCTGTACTATCAATTTTTATTATAATACTTGACATAGGTTTGATTAATTAGTATATGCAGAACCCCAATATTGCAGTTTAAAGTCTATATCCGAGCTAAATAATTGTAATGAATCATTGCAATCTCAATACTTGAAACAGGTGAAAGCTTTTAATCAAGAGAAGAAGAGGTGGAATAGGGATTCATTATAAAATAATACTAAGATCCAAAAGTTACGCACCTACACTTTGCAGATCATTAATAAACATAAGCAACTACAAAATGAAAATACTAATCTTATTTCTCATAATGCATAAAAAGATATTTTTATTGCTAAATCCAAGGCTGAGAATGTTACTAAATCCAAGAAAATCAAATCACTTGAGTCTATGATCAAGATATTGGAAGATAAGTTGTCTTCAGCTCAGAAAGATGTGATTTCAATTCAAAATGACTCATTGAAAAAAAATTCTGAGAAGTTATCTCTCAAATCTAAAATAGCTGAATTAGAAAATATAAAGAGCAAGTTGAAATTGAAGGTTAATGAACTTGGGTGTCTGAAATCGGGGGCTATATCAAAACCCATAGACCCTTTGGGTTATTGCTCTGCAATAGTTAGTGGAGATGACAAAAAAAATACACAGAGCGAGGAACAAAGTTCCATAACCAAGTCTGACAATATATCTGCAGTATTGCAAAGCAATGACACTTATGTGTTTAGTAAACCTAGTAAAAATTTCAGGCAATATTTTGTATGTGGAAAAAATATGGATCCAATAGAAAAAATTGATGATACTGTAATATCTTGACATATACCAATGATGAGACTACCGAGATCAACCCAAAGGTAAGTGACGATATTAGCAAAACTAACAACAATATACTCCAAGAAATACTGAATATGACTCCTTACCTTGTATAGCCAAAAAATAACAAGTCCTCACTAATTGATTTGAATTCCCAGATGAGACCTAGTCTCAAGGCTTTGTCTTTTCCGATAGAAGGAATAAAAGCAATTCCTATTGTGGCAAGCACATTGATGTCACCTTTATCTGCATATATTTTTCTTACTTTGTTAATTATTGCAGTTATATGGTTTGTTATATTGAGACATACATAGGGCATAGGCAAAAAAAGTGATTGGCTATGGGATACTTGGGTTAGGTGAACATCTATTTAAACTTGGGAGTTATTTATGTATGAAAAAATATTCCAAGTTTTATATTGTATAGCCTCATAGATATGATGTTATATTTATATTGAATCAACTGCCTTATATTATATATTTAGAAAACTGTCGAGTACCAGTTAATTAGTTTTCGTTAGGATATAATAGGTTGCTTTATAACTATCTCATTTTTTCTTATAGTTTCGGGTGGGTCAATTTTATCTGGATTTGATATATGTTCTTTATATCACATGTAATATACTAATTGATGAAAAGAAGCATCATATTTTTTGATAATTGGAATAAGTGTATTTAGGTGTTTTGTAAAATTAGAACATATAGTTTTTTTATCCCTTCATCTATCAAAAGGTTATCATTTTCAGTATATGCTCCAGCATACTTTATAAACCTTTCTCATAATCTCTTGACAGAATTAGTTGTCTTAAAATCCTCAAAACTAAGCCATTCTCTATAAAATATCTCGTAGGTATTATCTATCTTCTAATGTAATATAGATTGTACAGTTTTGATTGCATTCTTGTAAGCGCATTTGTAAGCATATCCACGATTAGTTATTATTTTAAAATTGATCTCATTTATCTTCTTAATATACAATTCAAGCCACTTTTTGGCCTTATTTTGAGTATAAATATCAATCTGTTTATACTTCTCATCCAAATTAGAAATTTGCATAATCTTGTCAGTAGATGGTGGTTCATATCTTTTATTATACATTATGAATCGAACACAAAGTGCAGTAATAGTATTTTCAAAGTAATAGGATAGATCCAATTCCTTATTTAATTCTTTTGCAATATCCACAAATTCCATTTGATCACTCTTTTTCAGCGTAAGCTTTTTACTAAATAAACCAAATAGTGAATCTGGGTGGATCATTATATAACTAAATCATTCTCCTGGATCTGAAATCTTGTTTTTGTATTCTTTTCTCATCCGTTTTATAAAATGTTGAACACGTATATTATTTTTATTAGGTTTTCACATAGCTGTCTCTATAAACTGTTCGAAATTCCATTGCTTAGGATTGGATATGGCCTCTATAAGACTCACTTCAACAATCTGATAGAGTGAATATATATTATTGATATCCATAGCTCTTCTTATGATTCGATCTTCTATAGTTCTAAAAAGCTAGAATTTACCTTGCTTCACAGTATCGATCCCTTTGATGAAAAGTTTATTTGGTTTAAAGTTTATAGCTTCCTTGTGTGCTATACCAAAATACTTCTTCTTACCAATAAAACAAACAGGAAATAATACCTCTTCATATGCCATTTTTAGGTAAACTGACCTGCTTTTTAACCTAAGAAATGAATTTATCTCATTACATAGTCTTTCTATTACCTTCATAGTAATTTTAACCATTTCTATCCAATACTCTAACTTTGAAATTGTACCTTTACCATTATTATAAGCGAGATTACATTCTTTATAATAATTATTGGAAGATTTAAAATACAAAGAGTCTGTATCACTATACATAATTTCAAAACCTTTCTTTTTCACGTATTCCACAACAAGCTTAATATTATATGTCTTGCTGATGTAACACCACCAGCAAGCTGGTATATATAAAAAGGTGAGAGACTGTTACCAGTTTCACTATAAAATGAATTTATATATACTTTCTGCTTTGAATCTAAATAGCTGTAATTAAAACAAATCGAATTATATTCTTCTATAAGATTCTTATAAGGCGTTCCAATAAAATTATTTAAGGTTTTGGCTACATCTTGACGTTTCTTTTCATCTTTTATATCTTCCAGAATACCTTTAATGATGTTTATAGTTACTATCAAATTAACTTCAGAATTTATTCTACTTTTCACAAGTCCCATATGCTCTATTTTCTTTCCAAGAGGTTTTAATTGGGCCTTCATATCATTTTGCTTATTAAGTAAATATTCTAATAGAGATAGATATAAGCCTTTTTGGTTAGATTTGTTTTCATGTCGTATGCTCCATGCATGAATGGCTCCACCAAACTCAATTGTATGAAGTACTTTGTTTTCTTTCTTTAGTACATTTGCTTTAGTTAATGTATATACCATCTTTTCTGGTGATAAATTATAAGTCATAATAAGACTTGGATACAAAGATACAAAATCCAAACCTGTAACTAGATGTTTATCTTCAAGGCCTTTATCTGAAGAGTACATATAAACTCCTGGAAATGACTCTTTTTCAGTTTTTTTTGTTATCATAGTAACTAGAATATTTTATTTTCACGCTTTTGCACCTAAGAGATTACGTATCTTTATACCTATAGTATAATAATGTAAATCGAATAAAGATATATAAGCAATAGATGCAACACCTCTATAGTCATTTATCATATTTTTCTCAACCATAAGTTGCTGAGAAGATTTAGCATTTACAATACAATATTCCGCAATTTTATGTATATATATGGTAGTTTCAGTTGTAGTAGAGATTTTGCTTTGCTCATAATATTTTCTCATATTCTTTATAGATAAATCTACTTTACTTTCGAGACCATTGATTTCTAAGTAATGGTTAAGTGTATTTATCTCAGAATTTGGATAAAGTTTTTTACAACATACTATCATATCAATCAGAATGCATCTGAGAATTTTAAAAAAAGTGAATATAAACGTTTTTTTGGAAGTAATTTTAATTTTTATTCCTTCTTGATTCTTTATTTTTTTATCTTCGATATTATGATTATCTTTTTTTCCTTCCAATTTTACTTCTCATGTCTTTTTCTTATGAAAGAAATCTTTATAGAAAGGTTCACCTACCCCTCCATAGTAATTCCAACGAAAAATACTATCAATTGTAGCCTTTTTACGTGGATTCGCTGCTATTTTTGTTAATATCCAATCTAAGATTTTACACTGAGTAGCTCTTTCTACTACAAATGGCCAGTCATATTTAGAGCCATTATATGTAAGTTCAATATCAGGAGCAAATAATTGCCAGCATAAAGCAAATGCTTTTAATATATTCTTTTTATTTTCACAAATAATCATTATCCAATTTGGATCTGGTGCAGTTTCTATATCAATAAGACAAATCTGTTTTAATGGTTTTGGATCATCTTTCCAGTGAACAGTCATACAAATCATAAATATGTTATCTTCTTTATATCTTGCCATAGGGACATGGTCTAATCCAAGCATTGTATGTGTTTCTATATCCCAGGTAAGAACTAGTGCTCGATCATGAGTAATGAGTGAAGATGGATAAGCCTTATACAATACTGTAGGATCCTCTACAGAATGATAATTATTAATAGATACATAGAAAGCGTGTTCACAAAGTGGAGAACGAGCACTATAAGACATCCTGCCATTATTATATTCATATTTGGTTAATAAAGCCCATCCAGAGAGTGGTATCCTATATTCTCGAGCAACTTTTCAGTAATATGCTCTCAAATCATCTGAGGCGGTTTCCAGTTTGTACTCGTCAGCGATTTCTAAATTGTAATTTAAAATAATCGCAAGAGCGATTGATCTTTGCTTAATATCAGTTGTAATGATGCGAATATGAGGTTTTGGTTCTTTATAATATCTACTGATTGGAAATGCTTTTATATGTTCTGTCCGGAGGTTGGTCATATCTACGACCCCCCTTTCATCTTTTCCATTGGCAAGAATGTTTTTTATTTCGATCTCAAATACATCAATATTTTTATTATCGGGGACGCGAATATCAAAGAAAACTTTTATACCGGAAATAGTTACTACAGCTTTTTGACTATCAACAAGATAACCATAAATACGTAAAACGTAATGAGGGGTATTATTTATATATTCATTATATTCTTCAATGTCAATTGGCATAAAAGGTATATCTTCTCCATTGACTAAAGCCCGTTTAATAGTTGCCGTTGATCCGTAGTCATCATTTTCTGTAATTATCATATTGCGGCTCGGATGAGTTGGTAAATAATCTTCTCCTTTGTAGTAAAATACCTGGCTTTCCTCCTTACTTTCCGAAATCTGTGATTGAGGAAAAGCTTTGGCCCCCCGGTGGTACAACGCCCCGCTATTTTCTTCCTCAATCTCTGGGCTCTCTGGTCGAGAAGGTGATGCTTCTGACTCTGCTAACATGTGATCGATGTTTTCTATTGTGGAACAGCTCTTAAGAATGCCTTTACAGGCATGAGCTTCGTTCTGGAAATATTGAGTACTCATGGTAAATATATTTTTACTGCTAGTATATTATTCCGGAAAAAAAAGTTCAAAATGAAAATTAATTCTAAAGAATAGTTATCAGTAGATAATAATTATTATATCATATATCATATAAATATGGCATTTTATCGTTGCTCCTATATTCTTAGGACTGAAAAAGTTTGCAATCGAGGTTGCTATAGACCTGAAGGGTGTAAAGTTCACTGGGATTCTCCACCACGCGTACCTTGTAAAGAATGTGGTAAGATGACCTATTCTGGTTATAACTATTGTGATACTCATGCAGATAAATATCGAAGACAGGATCGGTATCAGCAGAAGAAGCTGGAGAAGATGGCACAAGGTGGGAATCAGAGATTCAATGCTCTGCATCATCTGGGGTAAAGGAAAATTAATATATGTGTGTGTGTGGTATGCAGGATTCTTATATTTTTCGAAGTTCCAACTGGGACGAATTTTTTTCTAGAACGTAAACTAGGACAGAAAAAAATATACCTGACGGTAATTTCAAGCCGAACGAAAGAGTTTTAGAATACCCGTCCCAGTTGTCCTAGTTGTCCTAGTAAATTTTCGATCTTCTTACTTTTTTTCTTTTTTTATCTATAGGTATACATAGTATATATTATATGTATATAACCGTATATATCATTATGTATAGTATAAATGTATCATGAGTAGATAAATTTTATTTTTTCTAGATTATTACTTTTTACTAGGACAACTAGGACGAATATATAATAAATATAAAAGAACAAGATAAAAAAGAATTTTAAATCTTTCTTCTATATCGAATCCATCCCAGTTAACATTTTTTTTACTAGGACGAAACCAGGATGGATTTTTTATTAGAATGTGAGCAGATTTATTTTAACCACATTCTGAGATAGCGAACATGAGCGATTACATTTTGATAACATTTTCGATAGCATAACCAGATAGCATATATATAGCATGACCGGATAATGTGTATATAGTGTGTATATAATGATTTAGATAGCATATACTCTGACTATAAATGACAACATAATCACATCCTAATTATCAAACCCGTGATGAGGCCAACTTGGTTGTATAACCTGCCTCAGATATTTTATTGTAATAGAAATCAGTTGGAAATGATAAGCCAGTATATGATATCAAATGACACATAAAATGCATTCAGCCTATTAAACTCGCGATAAATTCAGTTATTTCTTTACAATCAAAATCGATTAGAAACACTAAGTCGATATACAAAATTTTATATGAGTGATTAAAACACTATTGATATCGAATTTGACTTTCTAAAAGATATACAAGCCATATACCTATTTATGTGTCATAAAATATATATTACAACACTGATGATAGTGTCATATTTCTATTGTCAAAAATGTGTCATAAAATATATATCATGAAACTGACGACGGTGTCGCATTTCTATCATCATGACACTAACGATGGTGTCGCATTTCTATCGTCATGATACTGACGACGGTGTCGTATTTCTGTCATCATGACACTGACGATGGTGTCGCATTTCTGTCATTACTCAAATAATGATGCAAGCATAAATCGTTTGCCACTCGAATGATGGAGCGAATACTAATATATCTCTGACGACGCAAGCGCGAATCATTCATTACTCGAATGATGGAGCGAATACTAATATATCTCTGACGACGCAAGTGTGAATCATTTGTCACTTGAATGACGATGTAAATGCAAAATGCTCATCATACCTGAGACTATAATAGTCTAATCTAAGTCGTTTTGTGTTTATATAAACACAAAACGACTCATTATTAATAGATATATTATCATCAAGAGACATCGTTCTTTGATAATTGGTTGTTAAAATTGACTCTTCTTCATAATTAGGAATAGTAATAATATTATTATTACTAGTAAATACATCATCATTAATAGATGTATTATCATCAAGAGATATTACTCTTTGATATTTGATCATTGAAATTGGCTTTTCTTCATGATTAGAAATAGTAAGATTATTATAATTACTATTCTTATAATTAGTTAATACATCATTATTAATTGATATATTATCATTAAGAGATATCGGTCTTTGATAACTAATTGTTGAAACTGGCTTTTCTTTATAATTCAAAATAGTACTATTATCATAATTACTATTCTTATTATTAATAGATGTAGAGATAAATTTTTTTATGTTTGTTTTTTACTTCAGAATTTTTAGCACGATACCATTTTGTATTACATGAACTACAGAGAGAAAATTGAAAATCCAAAGAGAAATCCACATTGTAATTGCATATTTTATTTTGCTCCTCTAAAAGATCAAATTGCTTTGTTGAAAAATCTTCACGGTAGTTAAGCTTAAAAGCCCAAGGAACTTCTTTTGTCCGGTTTTTTTTATTAGGAATTTGAGTTTTAATACATTTACAAGATTTTAAAAATGTATTTTGATTACAATAAAGACATCGAGTACACAAATAGCAGGTGCCAATTAGGTAAGTATTTGAAGATTTCATATAAAGAATTTTATGTGAACGACAAAGTTATAATAACTATACAATTGCAATTGCAATTGCAATTATAATTGTAATCACTATCACAATCACAATCATTTTACAAAAAAAATTAGTAATTATGGGGGGTCACAAAATTATGCAAACTGCAATAATTAGCTGGCTTTAGCAATCGCAATCGCAAACACAATCATTTAATCATAAAAAAAAAAATTAGTCAGAGAGGTCACATAATTATGCAAACCGCAACAATTTAAATACCGATCTTTGGATGTTAAATAACGATAATATAATATATTTATAGACTTGTTAACGTCACCCCCAAAAATTTAAAAGTGCTCCGTAAGAGGCATTTTTATTAAGTAAATCCTTATTTTGATCTTAATAAAAGTTGTTCATCAGGTCTTTCCGGTTCTAATGGTAGTAAAATCATTAAAATCGGGCCAGTAGTTTTTTTAAAGTAAATAAAAGTTAACTAACTTCGGATATATATATCTTAGGAACTACTAGTCCGATTTTAATTATTTTACTACCATTAGAACCGGAAATGCCTGATGAACAACTTTAATTAAAGTCAGAATAAGGATTTACTTAATAGAAATAACTCTTCCGGAGCACTTTTTGATATTTGGGGGTCCATTAACGAAAATGGGGGTTGCGTTAACAAGTCTCTATTTATATCTTCTAAATACGTAACGTAATAAAGATTTAAACCAGCTTTAAATTGATTTAAATAAAAAATCAGTGATTTATATAACATTGTGATTTAAATCATGTTCCATCCCTACTAATGACCTTAGACTTCCTGTTAATGACTCGATTTTGCGAGATATTTTAAAGTTGAAAAACTTATTTAGAAAAATTTGTTTTTTTCTATTGACTTTACCATATATTGATATAGAATATGTAGGCTGCCGTCAATAGAAATAAGGCAGATTTACATTTTAAAAAAAATCAATGCCTTAACTTTCGCAGCCCATATCTTGATGAACTTTGAGGCTATCTTGATGATTTAATATTCAAAAAAAGCTTAGATCGTAAGCTTTCTTTTGACTATTAAATAATTAAGGTAGCTTCAAAATCCATCGAGATATGAGCTGTGAAAGTTAAGGCATTAAATTTTTTTAAATGTCAATCTGCCTTATTTCTATCGACGGCCCATATAATAAAATAGAAAACCCATGAGCCGTAACTTTGGTCAAATTTGCAGATCATTTGGCCAGCTTTGAAGTTCAAATTTGACCAGAGCTACGGCTCATGGGTTTCTTTATTTATGAAAATAACCCACATTTTTTATTAATTCTGTAAAAATTATTTTTATGAAATAATAAAAGTTTTTTTTTTAAATTAAAAACTTATTATTATTTGTCATCTATTAATTTACATAATTGAAATTTTATTTTTTTAAATTTCGTTCATATAAATGCTGTATATAAAAATTCAAATTGTAATAACTCTTAAACTAGCAAATTCAACTTACTATATTTTAATATGCTTTTTAAAGTAACAATGCTCTTTTTTTAAATTTTTTTCATTGTCTGAAGCATAGTGGATAGTGATGGGCAATCGGCTGTTTTTCTAATAATCCCGCGCGTAATCCGCGCAGATTGGTTTTTTTATAATATATTCCGCACGGGATTACACGCGGATCACGTGTGGTGCCTATCACTAATAGCGGAGGACTCAAAGTGGTATCAAAATTCTCGCATATTTGTATAAAAAATTCAAGGTTATGTTTTTGATATTTTATTAAAAATGTATTTTGATACCACATGAGTCCTCTGCTATGCTCTAGACAATGGAAAATACAAAAATAAAAAAAAGCATTGTTACTTTAAAATAATAACCAAGTTTGTTTAATAAAAGAGAGGATTTTTATAAGATAAGCTTATAGGGGTGATTATATGGAAAGTTGACTGTATAATTTTATTTATGTGGGTCTGCTGGTTCAAGTGTTATTGCAATTTGAATTTTATATGGTTTTACTATCGCTATAAAAAAATTGATCACTATATCACCTGCATCATGTTTGTAATCTGACTTGTATCGTACATCTCAATTAACAGTGCATTGTGTTCGATAATATGCATGTATGCGGCTAGGTACGTACGTACGTACGTACTCACTTCAATAATAAATGCTTGTATTCATGTACATACAAAATCTATAAATTATGTTCACGAAAGAATTTTAACCTAATGGGAAATTTAGGATTAATAACTTCGTACAATGAAAAAATTCCCAAATTTTACCAATTATTCTGTTAGAAGAATTACAAAGAGACAGTTCAATGATATTGTTTTACCGACTGCATGGGATATTAAAGATAAATCACCGTTTATTGACATAGATTCAAGTGGACTTAAAGCGAATTATACAGGTAATATAAAAATGAGAAATCTCGCAGAAACATATTTAATGTGTTACTATACATTGGCATTAGGGATATCATCATAGCTTTTTTTAATTTATTAAAAAACCTCTTAATTAAAGATCCTGATGACTATAAAGCTGCTATCGTTCGAGCAAATCATCCAATCCCTTCAGAGTGTGTGATATTTTACTTTGAAATTAAAATTATAAACAAAGGAAAAATGGGTAATATTAATAAATGTCGCAGCTGATGCTGAAAACGGCTGATGCTGAAATTTTTTCATATTTTATTATAAAATTATAAAAAATTTTTG